GCAACGAGAGAGTCCCATGTGAAGAGTGAATGAGAGGAAGTTTTCAAGCGATGAATACATAAACAGAGACTCGCTTTCACGAGTAATCGATAACGAGTGATGTATACATGAACAAAGAATCAGGTTCCACACTTATTTATAATTCCTTTCGAGAATTGGCCTACCTGCGTTTGAACATTGGGCCTCTAAAATGACATGTGGCAAGAGCGTTGTGTGGCTAACAACCAAGCGAGGGCTTGGCACAGTGGCACCGGCATGGTGGCCTGGTGGGGGGTTTGATCTACCTGTGTGTCCGAACTCGGTGTTTACTGATAACGTCATGATAGGACTGTCACCTTGATTGAGTCTGACGTGAAGCTTTAATTGGTGAAGTTTTCACGGGCGTTCTACTGCAAAGAACGTCATGACTTGGGTGTCCTTCTTCAGAGGTTTGTTCACATTTTTCAAGTTGATTCTCTTTAAGTACGTCGTGTATTTGTCAATTCTAAATTACTAAAATCAGTCTCATTGTCAGGCAAATTCTGCAACTAATCCTTTCCATGTGCGACATGCGACAAAGACAAAGGACTAGATTGTTTGACGCGCAGCCACTAGGCCTACATTTATCATTGATCTATAAAAATGACAGGCGATTTAGAGCCACAAGATCTTCCACTACTTCCTCTGATTTAATCAATATTTCTAATAGCTGGTTTGTCTTGGAAACCCTAAAACATGAAGGAAGATGTACCAAGAAGGATGTGACACGTTTTAACTCACCTGATGTAAATGATGACCACAGTTTCCCCTTTTGGGAAACTTACCAGGTTGAGTCGGTCTCCTTTTGGTTATATGACTAGTGCTCTTGTTTTTCACTTTTTGCAGCTGTTTATGTCCACGATTAATATTAACACTTTCACATTTTCTCACATAAGATCTTAGAGGTCTCCCGGGTAGCTTTTTGTTTGAGTTTTGTTCCTTTCTTACCACTTTTGAACATTGGGGCATCTTGGCATAGGCTTTACGAATAATTATGAGAAAAGGAGGGCATTGAGATGCTGGTGCTGGTTGCATATCATGTTCTCTTCTGAACACAAAGAATATAGGTACAGTTTTCTCATAATCTGGATCAAGCACATCACGAATGTGTAATATTAATTCAAGATTCAAAAATAGGTAGGCCAAGACAAATAAAGGTGCTTCTGGGTTATCGAAGGATAGAGCGATTGGTAAAGTTGCGGTCTTATTTCTGGGATAAGCGTTGTAATCTCTAACAAGACTATGAGATCGATGCTAGGTCAGCAGTCAGCTGGCATCACTTTGAACTGACATTATCACTATTATGCCGTACTTACTCATCCACAGTTGTTTTCACCTAATTATGCAACGACAGATAGCTTTAAATAGGTAATTCCCTTGTACAAATTACTGACTTCAACATGCACCCACTATCCTTATCAAAACCTATGTACTTGTCACGTAACTAGATGTGTCATAGAGATGCAGCAATTTGCGCTGACCTGTTTTGTACCACTAATATAGGGGCAAGAAGGGAATCGTCCAACCGGAATTACTGTAAACTAACATTATCATCATTGCGTGGTACTTACTCATTCACAATTCATGTCTCCTAATGACACGACAACAAAAAAGTTCAATTAGTAATCACCCTGTACGAACTATCAGCTTTAATCATGCACCTACCATCTCTATCGAAGCATGTGTACCTGTTACCAAATTAGATGTGTTCAAGAATACAGCGATCTGAGCTGACCTGTTATGCAGTACTGCCACTGGAGCGGGGAGGGAATCGTCCTACCGAGATCTTGAGAATCCCTCATCACCAATGTCCCATCTACGTGTCCTTTTTTCATCATAGCTTTCCAAATCAAACTAAAGCTTATTCTTTGAGAATCCACTAAATTGGAGAAAATTCGAGGGAGACTCTTGCAAGTTGTAAAGATGATGGCTAATGCGATGGAGCTTATGACATGCACAGTGAGTTTCTTCCCCCCCATTTTGAGGTAAAAGTCGTTAAAGTTACCTCAGTGATGAGAGGCATTTTGCTCCTTACTAGATAGCCAAAACGTGCATATGCATCATAATAGCTTCTCTTTTAACCCTTCTTCAAGTTGTCATGTCAATCCTTCTAGTAATTGCATGAAGGCTTTCGCTTGGAATCGCGCTTTTATGCCTAATTGGTTTGGAACCCTAGCTTCCAAATGGGTTATCGAGAATTTTTTTTTATTTCGGTCGGGAACAAATTTTTTAAAGTTAAATGCCATATATATGGATTTTATTTTTAAAAAATATTACCTAAATATATGAGATATTTTGAAAACCTAGAGAGTGGGGTCCACCACTTACCTATGGATCCGCCAGTGCTCCTAATTATTTTCATTAGTCCTTTCTCCCCGTTTAGAAAATGGCTTTACATAATTTTATCTTCATTATACAACTATAATAATCAATTAATATTCTGATGGTAAGGTCGATATTACCTAAAACGATGATGGGTAAATAAAAAGAGACTAAATCTTGTTTGGATATCATGGTGAACGCTTTGCGTTTCGGCCCCTAGAAGATCAAAACCGTGGATTTCGCAACTTTGTTGATTCAAGTAGATTCGATGCTAGCGTGTACTCTTGGAGCGACATGTCGAGTAGGCCCGGTTTGCACACATAAAATTAAACACAGCAGACCTAAAGTTTAGAACACGGATGGGTCTATGTCCAACCTTTCGATATGTACTCTCTCGGATTATTTTTGGTATTGTGCTGTTGGACGTGACTTTCCGGATCTAAGATTTGCCTTCATACATAGCAGTTTTCTGTGTCATGAGCAAACTAGTGGAACATGATGAGTCCATGTGAACTGACAAATGCCTACAAATTTCGGAAAAAAACAAATTAAAGGACGGTGGATGACTTCCCTCAAAAAAGGTATAATGGCTCTTCGGACCTATGAGAAAGCGAGATAATGATTTATGATCAATCAAATTCTCACAAGTAAAGATTAATACAGGGAGCTTTGAGTGCCGGAGACGTCTAGTTCTCTTGTGGCTCATGCAAAGGTCGAAGTCAAAGACTTAAACACTCGTAAATATCGAGACCTCCTTTTTTTTTCTTCCTTAACAAAGAAAAACGATACAAGCCAACAAATGTAACGACTCCTCAGCATCAAACTCAGGTTCCAATCACATTGATCTCGGTTCCTCACCTTTTTCTTATCTAGAAAATATTGATAAGAATATCGATCATGATATAAGATAAAATCTCAAAACCATCTACTTCAAAGGAAGAAAAAAAAGAACGAAATGGATGGAATTGTATCTCATGGCAACAGTGAATGCACAAAGTGACAAACATGAAGAGAGTCCCAAACTGCCACATTCCTCAAAAGCACTGGTGAGTGTTCCCTTTTGTTTTGGCAAAATCCTCTTTGGTTGGAGGAGAATATTTTGTGTTTGGCATTGAGCTATGAAGTTGGCGTTGCCCACCTGCCCCACAAATCTTTTCCATTTCACCCCCTACCTTTCTGTTGACAGTGATGGGCTTGCTCATTTATTTTGATTTGACCTTGATTTGTGCTTAATTTATTATAATGCCACACAAATTGCTTGCTCTTTGAGCAAAATCCTTGTGCTCGATACCTGGATTAAAAAGAAAAATCTCATATATGATGTTATGTCCCGTCACGTTCGTAATTATAACATAATAATTTTACGTGTGAATTTTTATTATGTACGGTTTTTATATTATTGGACTCTGACATGTATCATCGTTTTTATCGTCGAGAGTGGGACAGAAAGTAATCGTCCGCGTGATTCGCGATAGTTTCGACCGTGACATGGAATTCCAATCGCACAAAATGTTGGGAGATTGGTGGGCAGAATTTTCTTTTATAAGATTAAGATGTGGTTGCACAAGATATTTATCTCCAATGCAGCCCAAATGTCTGCCATTATCTTCTGTCAGGGTGTTCCTGAATACATTGTGTGCTCCATTGATCACATGGTTTGCCTTTGTTTGAACATGAACCGATGTTAAGTTCTCTTCTATTCATCGTTTTAAGAGGCACTGGAAAGTCCGAAAAAAGTCCTATAAGAAACTGATGGTCCTACGATTGTTTGTTTACACCAAAAGTATTTTCTTGTAGCCATTATTCTCTCTAAGAATAAGGAAATTGGAGAAAATTTGAAATTTTTTATAAGAAATTATGGAGAAAGTATTTATTATTTTTTATGTCACTATTAGCGTATTTTGAAAAGTTTAAGATATTTCGCATTCAATAAACTCAAACGGAAAATTGCAAGACTCGCAAGATTAAAATAAAATGTAAGATTAAAAATATGAATCGCTCTAAACAGTGAAAAGCCAGTTGCTTCTATTGAGTATTAATGGAGTGGTAGCATCAATCCTCACAAGCCATTTTATATTTTATCTTCTAATAATTATGGTATTTGATCCTTAAATCATGAGATAAGACAAAAAAATTACTAAACTTGTTGTATGAATGCTTATTTAATTACAAACTTTTTAATTTGATCAATTTACTCATAAAGCTTTTGACGACTTTCCAAAGAAATCGTTTACGGGGGCATTGATCGTCCTACTTAGTATGATCGGGAGTTGACATTGATAATTTTTGTAATTTTTTCAAAATTTTTTATAAACTTTTTAAATTTTTTTTCTTTTCTTTCTTTTCCAGTTTTTTTTCTACTGAAGTCCAGCAAGGGTCATCGGCTGACCCTCATTGGCCATAGGCAAGGGCCGTCAACCCTTGATGGCCACTGGTCAAGGCGCGCGAAGCCCTCACTGGCCCATAATGGCAAAAAAAAAAAAGAATAAAAAGAAAAGAAAATATAAATATAAACAATTCAATTTTTAAAAAAATGCAAAATTTGTCTACGTCCACATCCCCAAACTTGGCAAAAAGGACTACATTACTAAAATTGTCAAAAGGTTTAGGATTAAATTGGCCAAATTGAAAATTTTACGACTAAACCGACATCCGTGCGATAGGTTTAGATTTTTTTGATAATTTTCCCCTAAAATCACTGCATATTGTAACGAATGTTACATTGAGAGTCAAACCACGACTTTGGACTTTGGACTTTGGACTTTACAAATGAAAGAGCTTACATTTTGTTTGGGCCAGTCATTACCTTATTATTAAGGCAAACCAAGAGAAAACAGCATTCTAGTACAACTACAAACAAGTGATCCTAGAGGTTATAATGGCTTTTCCAAGGGATTCCACCAGAAAACAACACTATTACGTATTTCACAAAACAAGCCTCCAAACTCCGAAGTGTATAAGGATTACTACCGCCGAATCCGTCGCAAAAGAAAAGCTCATCGCTATCAACCTGCAAAAAGGAGACCAAAGGATGAGCATATACATATTCTCGATTAGATAGACTAATGCACGGAAGGTTACCACTTACAAGTTCAAAACACGAATATTTTCGAGAAACTACGCACAAGAGCATGCCTGTTGGATCCATAACCATATCCAAACATTCACATTTGCGACGATAATTATACTCGAGTCTCACATTCATATTCCTCTTTGATCGGCAACTGATTGCGGTTAATATGACACATTGTGCAATTACAAGAAATTAGTCCTTGTGCTCATGGGCCAAATTTCTCTGTGAAAAACCTGCAAATTTCTGCATTGTGGGTGGGAGAGCCTGTCACGAGAGAGACAGTAAGAGTTGACATTATTGAGGCACTTTGACAGTCCACTCTGATAAATTATTTTGTGGGGGAAAATGTCACTTTCAAAGATGAAACCCTGGGAACTTAATCGAGGAAGGAACAGAATGCAAGGACATGCCAGCGCAATTTATTCATACAATCAAAAAGTGCTTATAACAGACAGTTCAGAAGTTCAAGATAAACCCAGAAAAGTTGCAAATCAGAGAGTGTTCAAGTAAACTCAAGTACATGGCTATATCAAGTAACATACCTACGGCCAGAGGCACCCAAAAGAAATAGATAAATCCGGCTTACGCGAGAAATTTCTTCTTAATGTTGGGTCTTCTATCTGGCGGGTGAAATCGCGACCTCTATAGCTTGAATGAAGGTGGCAATCTTATAAGTGAAAAATCCAACTAACATCGGTATCAATTCTAAGTGCATATACCCAAACTCTGGAACAAGGATCCTGCAACCAAGCAGGAGATTTGCAAGTATGCATCAGAGAAGTAAAGTGGACAACATGTATGCTTCAGGGAAAGACAAGAAAGAAACAAAGAGTTCAGGGGGGTAAGAAAGGGGTGGTAAAGAAGTCAGAGAGTGTTATTGTCTCTTCATATGTTCGAGAGGTCAAATGCAGAGTAATAGATGGCCCAGCACAAAATCTGAAAGTCCGATGGTTCTATTCTGTATCGAAAATAAATGTCATCCCAACCAATGTCCCTCCACATTTTTCCTTCCTTTCATTTCTCTTTTTGTCCATTCAACTGAAAAATAGATCACAATGTCTTTGATCACTACAAGAACTTGTGTCAGAAGAAAAGAACCAGCATCTCACGAGAAAATTTAAGACGACTGACGTCGTTAAAATTCAATCAAGTAGATTTAAACTTTCAGCTCCCAAACAAGTCCTTTTCCTGAAAGTCTTAATGAATAGTTTAGATCTCAAGATTTCAAGGTGAAGTATGAGTACCTAAGGAAAACATCATATAACAAAATTTTCCATTAATTAATCTGCAAAAACTTACACACCAAGTATTCATAAAACTCAACACCAAGTAAACCATCTGTGATGGATTACCGATGTAAACAATGCATTCAACAATCATAAGCAACATATGCACATGCAAATAACACTTTTGGATATTACCCAATTAAGGGATCCAGTACCAGATCACTTAATTTATTGTGCATTTGTGGTTTTAGGGTTCTGGAAAAATGCAAAAGTAGAGATAAGAGAGTCCACATGCTCCTGTGAATGAAGCTCACCATCCGAGGATAGTAGCTGCATCAATGATTAACATGCTGCTGATACCCTCAAACAAACAGCACAACCAACATTTAAAGTGAAAGAACAGCTTTTCAGTAGGACATTGAACACTGCATACCAAAAGTTTCAGGAAAAAGAGGAGACGTAGAATCAGCAAGCGTACAGTACTCACTCATTCCACCGATTAAAGATCATGACAAGAGCTACAGGCACCAACAGCCTCGGCTGCCCAATTGATCCCCTGCAAATGAATGTAAATCAGCTTGTGTTTACCATATTCACATCCACCCAGAGAAACAAACTAGTTCTTCATAAAAGAAATTATATTCTGAGCACAGGAAAGACAGAAGCATACTTGATTAGCCCCTTAGCCCCATCCGCCATGGAATCAATACTCTTGCCAAGCATACGTACGTAAATCAAGGAACCAAGCAACCCGACGCCAAAACTGATACATCAAACAGTGATGTGTGATGATCGCTCCAGGACTTCCAGAACAACAAATAATCAGTCTACAGATGCTCTATTACAGTTAGGAGAGGCAAGCAACCTCCTAAGAATAGCTTGAATAGCTATGATTCACACAAAACTTAGAGCTGATTTTATTAAATAGAAAGAAATGTGAGTGATGCACCTCTGTGCTACCAGAGGAAAATAAGAAAATTGGAGTGCAAATGGAGTTCATTTCTCGATATAAAATAAATGCAGTACTGATAACATTATTCATGTGCAAAAGGAAATAGCTCTTGACAGCTTAAATAAAGGATCTTCAAAATCCAGAAAAAAGCTTGCAGTAGCGAAACAAAATCTTCATCTTTTTGTGAGTGCTTCCCTGAAAACTGCTCAAATATTCTTTGACCCAAGAAGAGAAATCGTTTAAGTTGTTTTGCAAACAGTAATTCCACAGGAAGATATCAAGGCCTGTGGATTAGTCTACCGCAATAATGGTAGGAAGGTCCAGAGAACACATTCCTGAAAACGTTAGTCATTGTCTTTCAGCCCTTGAGGTTCATTAGAGAATGCTCTATTGTTTGGATATCACCACATGTTTGACCAATGGAAGAGTGAGAGGATATAACATGTTTGCGATATATAAGGGCCTAAAATCTCAATACAATTGCACTTCCTCAAACACAGCAATATCAACGAAACGCAACAAAGTAGACCATGATAGGGATGTTTCATTATTCTGAAACTAGAAGTCATGTAAGATCCGTCACCTAGCTGCAGTTTCCGGGGTGTAAGAGACATAAGCTGAGACGAGACCAATGCCACCAATACTTAGGGTGAGGATTTGCAACTTCCTCTTCAACTGCGCAGTTATTCCAGAAAATGGATATTCACTTTGAGCATATAAAAAGGCTACAATTCAATGAGACCGTATCAAATGGCAGCATACCTTCATATACTCCTCCCTGGATTGAGAAGCCAATACCTTTGGGTCACCTCGAGGACGCCTTAATTCCCGAAACATCTCCTCCTACAAGCAAAAGCAGAATTAAATGCCGCCAGACAGCGATATAAACTCCCTAAGCATAGCAGTGCAGAATGACTTACAGTGCCGCCAGTTGCGGCCTTGCTTGCTCTATCCCACTTCTCTTGTTCACGGCGTGTTGGTGCTAATCTCCATTTTGGCGAAGCACTGCCACTCCTCTGACATTCATTTCCAGCCAAATAGGTGTCAATAGAACAAGATTCAGATTACTGTGAAAGCCAAAAAAAGAAATCAATCAGGAAACGTAGTCATTGGTACATTTACTTCTGAAGGTGGCCTAATCAGCTGATCCAACTCAATCTTTGATATAGGACCGAGGTCTTTGCTCAAGTCAACTTCTAGACTGGGGAATGTTCAAAGCCAGTTATATTTTAGGAAAATATAGATCAATAATGGAGGTCTTTAGTTGAAACTAGAGGCTGAGCGAAAGCCAACCTGTCAAGGCTCATGACTCTGTTTAAACTTAAGAATCCAGCAGACTCTTCCTGTTCCTGCACATGCAAAAAAAACTTGTTCTAATGTCAGAAAACAAGAAGGAAAATGCAAGAACATCATGTACAAATGTATCTAAACAGATGAAAACAACATGTAGATTGCGTCATGTACTCATCATGCTGACGCATGACAACTTATCTGGTCAAGGCAATCCAATCCACAGATAATTTGTTCTCTATAAAAACAAATGCCCACATAACACAGATATTTGCTAGCACAGGAATCAGAAATCATGACAAAATTACACTAGTCCCAACATGTTCAATACTTGAGTAAGTTCCAGAGAATACTTGTCCAGTCTAATCAGCAACAAAATCTGGTGTTACTCTAAACGAGTGTTGCAATCAACCCCCCACAGAAAAGTGACTTGGTTAACATGCAAAACAAAGTGACATAACAACAGTCTTGTAGGAATCGACATTGGCTTCCACTGAAACGTGACGGTTCAATATGGGAAAGAGTGAGTTATGACTCCACCTGGTCTGCAGCATTTTCTCTAAAGAAATCAAATAAAATCATATGATGCCACCTAACATACAATCAAGAAAAGTTCCACGGTAGTGACGGCTGAATGACAAACCAAAACGTCTTCGAACAGACACAAGGTTCCCCAACAGAGTCCAGCTTTCACTAGGACATGGAATTGATGAATTATACGAATTCATTTAATCCTCCTAAGAAATTACCAGAAGTTGATCATCACAGCACACAATTGCGAGGTCCACAACCAATATGCCTACATTACGACAGAAGCGAGGAACTAAACCAAACAAAAAGTATATTCCGAACCGTAACTGGGGATGATGATTCAAGAGAAGCAGGACGAGGGTCCTGAATCATTCGTCTGAAGCGACCCACGAAGTCCTTGTTCCAAATGAAGTCGTCGGAGGTCAAAGGGTCTTCTCCCTCGCCGCCCCAGTACTTGCGGAGCCGCGAACCTGTGCCGGTGGATGCTCCGCCATAGGACACCGAACCCACCACCGGCTTGAGCGGGTTCTTGTTGGGCGGCACGGACTGGTCACTAGGGATGGGAGAGGCCGTGGATGTCACGGAGAAGCAACTAACGATCGACATGGTTGGTGAGATGGGGTGGCATCAGGGGGATGAAGAAGAAGAAGAAGAAGAAGAAGGAGAAGATGAACAGCAAAACAGGTGTGCACGTGGGGTTCAACTCAATCTCTCAAAGCTCATCATCAAATCTAAGACAAATATCTTCGCTCTGCTTTCTCCATAGGCAAAAAACAAAACACAAGAATTGAACCGCCCCTTTTTTTTCCCGATTTTTTTTTAATTAATTTCCAAAATTTTCGTATGAAACATTCATGGCCTTGCCAGAGCAAAATATCTATGTGTAATATTTTCTTCAATTTTTTCGACCCAAAAAAAGAAATCTTTCATACAATTTCGAGTTGACTTGGCCGTTAAATGGGCTAATCTGCTTACGTGGCCTCCTACGTGATAATTAGTTAGGCCCACCAATTAGCTGACGTGGTTAAATTTTCTGAAGTGGCTTTACTTGGATAGGCCAATTTTTAAGTAAAAAAAAAAAGAGATATAGAACAAGAATTATCTCGATTTATAGACAAAGGAAAGAAATTTATCGAAAGAAAATGTTTGGCACAAGAAGGAAGATTGGGGCTTGGGGAGTTTAAGGGCGCAATGGAGTCGAGTAGACTCCACTCGATACAGTGTCCAGTTAGAGCTCGACTCAACTCATAAACCCGAAGTTTAGACACTTGACCTGAGCTCAATCGATTCGATATAAAATTCGACATACTTTGCTTGACTCAATTTTAAGTATGTAAATTAAACACGCTAAATCTTTTTAGCTCGACCGTACTCGGTTCGACTTGCTCGAAATGTTAAAAGAGCAAAAATGTCATTATATTTTGAAAAGTAAGATTAAACATATATATAAGTGGCACAATAGCTATTCATAGATTCAAACTCAAACTATCAATAAATATATGGTTCAAACTATAAAAGCTCTTTAGTGGCTTGGGAGCGTTACACGCACGACCCTCGCCAAGACGGCCCTCAGACCCTCACTTGCTCACTAGGTAGCGAGACTCCAGTGCTTTTCTATCGATGTGAAGTATGAATCACACCCCAACAAGAAAGGACACGGCTTGCCAAGCAAGCATCAAAGCAGACCTCGGCCATGACCATAGGATTTCACTCAAATATATAGTGTCGTTTGTAAGCCACGAAAACGGCACCCTAAAAATTTCATTGCAAGAATCTAGAACACAGTAATTGAGAAAAAGGGATTTGCATACCTAATTTAGGATCCATCGTTCTTGATCCTGAGCACAAGTGCTTACCCTCTATATCACTGGTTTAATGAGACTAACCCTCACATATTACGTTCAGTAACTACTCCTTATATGAGGTAATTTGTGTATTAGGGTTAATGGAGAGACTAGAGTAATATTTCTTAAGTTTTCAGCCACATACCCTCTCATCACAAGCTAGACTCTACCTCGGCCCACACAAACCGCCAACCCCATATTAGATTAATTAACAATATTTATATTTCACCTTATTAGACCAATCCTGTAAAACGGTAAATCTCAATCTCAATTAATTTAGCTCACATTAGAAAAACTCTTACATTGTTGTCCATCAAATTATTCACTATCAGACTTATTTTCATCAACTGTGCCAAACCTCTTCTGAAACTCTTCTTCTGCGAAACAAACCGTACATTGTTTTGCGCGCGCACACACGTTTGGCCCCTTACAAACCACAGTGTACAGTCCGGGGAACTTTATTAATCGGTCAACGCTCGAATTAGTAAGCCTCCATGTATCGAATCCAAAATAATGTCGCCTCACATTGTCTGTCGTTGACCATAATATTTTCTTGTTTCATGAAAGTAGGAAAACAGCAATGTCATTCACATGCGAGAACTGGAAAAGCAAGGAACGTTTTGAAAGATGCGCAAGAATGGCGAGCCTGATTGTTGGATACATAACCAGAAACTTTTGATCAGTTCTAACAACTTAATCTATAAGTTTGATGAGAAAAGTCAACGCCCTTTACGTATGAACTGGTGCGATCCCTACCTGTCAAAAGGGCCAGATTGTTGCTGAAGCTTTCGTTTTAGTTGTACAAGGTCGGTGGGCTAATGATAATATGATATGACATGGCTTAACAGAGAGGCAAAGGAGAACCTATTTATAACGGCAAAGTCAGGGTGCTCTAGCCCATCATATTACTCATCTCATCTGTCTCTTCAACATTTTCTCATCAATATCTGCAGCAACTCACATAGTTTCTGAAGCACATTTGAATATCTCTCCAGTTTCAGAAGAAGAATGTCGACGGTGAGTACCTTCATCGAATGTCTCAAGATCTATCGTGAACATATCCATCATCTTTAGCACCGACACCAGAGCGAGTTATGTATATTTACTTTAGGCCCCAAATGCATGTAAACCCAACATATCAGATCTCCATGTAAACCCATCATCTTTTGCATAGGTCGTTGCTCTATATCAGTGTAAGCTTATCTGCTTGCGAAATGTTCTTAGATTATAGAGATGCGAGTGCACATGGACTGTGCGGGTTGCGAGAGCAAGGTCAGGAGTAAGCTTGAGAAACTCAAAGGTATAAACTTGATGCCCCAACATCAACTTGGCCTTCCATGTCCTGATGAAGTACTAGATTGCTTCTTACTCGCATGAAATTTCCAGGTGTGGACACGGTCGAAATAGACATGAACCTGCAAAAGGTGACGGTCACCGGGTGGGCCGAGCAAAAGAAGGTCCTTCGGACCGTGAGGAGGACTGGAAGGAGGGCTGAGCTGTGGGAACTGCCGTACAACCCAGTGTTCGATACCTCCGGTGCGCTTATCAGTCAACACCAAATCAACGGTCCACTCACATACCGTGCTCCGCAGCCTTCATCTCATTACAACTATTATAAGCACGGATACAATAGCAGTGAGCCGAGGTACTACCATCAGCATCAAGGGCATTCCACGGTTTTCAGTCAGCAGACCGGCGCGACATTCAGCGATGAGAATCCTCATGCTTGTAATATAATGTGACCATGGAAGTTAGAGATGCATATTGTTCGTATAAAGTGACATCCCGGTCCTATTTATATTGAGCGGGGCTTGAAGCAACATTGGAGTATAGGACTTAATGGTTTCTAAATTTGTTTGTACAATTTGGCATATGTTTAGTAAGGATGTTAAGTATCATCTTGGGAAATGTTAATTACTTTTCTAGCTCTTGCTATTATGTATGTTTGCGAAATAATGGGCCTGGCCTAGCACATGGCTCGTGCCATGCTGGGCTGATATGAGGTGTCGGGCCTGCCAGGCATGGCACGTAGAGGGTCAAACCGTGTCGGGCTTGCTCGGGCCAGTCCAAACTGTATGATAATGGAATTCACATAATTGGTTGCTCCAATTCTTATCATTGATCGTATGGAGAACTAAGTGGAAACTCAAGAATAATAGAGCTCAATGCCAAATCTGCCCATCGAATCGGCATTTATCCTCCAATGAGAAAGAATGTCAGTTTGATTAACGAGTGAGATTGGAAATTCGCAATCGATTGGTAGCAGAAAAGGAGCAAATTCCATTCCATCTGCCAAACATGATCTATACATTAGCCTCGTAACAACGACGGATCCGACGGAGAATCAATCGTTCGCATGCTGAGAGTTCTGTTGGACAAGTTTCGCTCCAGCAAGATACATTCCATTCTCCATTTCACTTTGGTTGATTCAAGTAGGAAGGGGATATGTGCTCTCCCTTCTACTTGCAAGGGTTTGCATGATGGTGACCAGACAACATTTGGTTCCGAGGATAATCCAAGCGGACAGATTCCGGGGCTACATGGTGAATGCAATCACCTGAATCTTAGCCACACTTCGTGCCAGCACATGTTCCTAACTCATGCAGGCGAATTTGTCCTGAGCAAAGATCTCTATTGTTCTCTGCCCATATGGACGTATTCTTTCGGTTGTCCTTAATGGCATCAGTATCTTCTGCTACCAGTGGTTTCCTCTGTAGATTCTGCTGCTGCAGGATTGTCCATCCCTCGAGGCCGCTCTCGTTATTCCATGCATCTAATGTAAAACCTAAATTCAATGCAAAACAGGGTTTTTTCTTTGGCTCATCACATGTTCGACCAAACCTAGGGATACTTGTCCAAAAAATCCTAAAAGCAGACAATTTAGTCTTCAACATTTCAATTGTGCAAATTTAGTCCTAAACCTTTTGATGATTTGCCAATTTAGTCCTAAACCTTTTGACAGATATAATCCTAGACCTTTTGAAGGACTATATTAGCAAATCGTTAAAAGGTTTAGGACTAAATTGACACAATTAAAAAAGTTTTGGATTGATTTGACTGTCGTACAATATGTTTAGAACTTTTTGGACAATCTTCCCACCAAACCTACGCCATAACTTTTGTAACTAGAAGTGGGCAGATATGCAAAATCGAGGAAGTGAGGGACGGATCAACGAGATGCCTCTTCTAATTGTCTAAGGTCATTGAAATTCTATTTTAAGAACACAAGGAGAGAGAGAGAGAGAGAGAGAGAGAGAGAGAGAATTAAATTAAGGAAGTTGTTAAAAGCATCAATCTCGCTAGAAAAGCAAATCGAAATAGGACAGAGAGTCAAGCTAAGAGTGTACTCTGGCTTTAGGATAAACACTACACAAAGTTTTTAAATTCTAATGAGAGTTGACTTTAAGAGATAAAGCTCTAATATAACTCCAAAAACAAAAAAAGCTTTCCTCAAGTTAGTATAGAAAAAGCCAAAGCTTAGACACAATATACAAAAAAAAAAAATAATAATAATAATAATAATAAGTTTACACTTTCTATTCTACTTCCAAGACTAGATCGGATGGGTAAAAGGTGCAGTCTTCTTCCACGCGTCAATCGGTAGAGCTCTTACTCAATGCAATCTCGAATTCAAAGGTTCGTAAAAGATGTTAATCTTTAATTATTTACTAAGCCTTTTGGCATTAATTATGTTTACGCAGTCGAAATCTTTCAAAAGAAGCATGTTATTTCAATTCGAGTTTGATGTTACGAACATGCAAATTTTTACTCTTTCTTTTTATTTCGGCTAATTCTTATCAAAGATGGTATGATCATACAATGAAAAGGCACCTTTGCCATGTTGCTCGTCTAACTCTTCTCGAGCTTGACTCGATCGCTATAATCAGTAATATCGAACTGATCTTGAAAAATATTTCCAAGTTGGTTCTGGAAATAAGGGATGATATTCATCGAGGTTTCCAAGTCTGAAAAGAGTATGATATTTTCTTTTTAGGGATCACATTGAACAAATTAAAAGTCAGGAATTATATTGCAAATTGAGCTAAAGTTCAGGGACTATATTGAATAAATTAAAAGTTCAATGATCATATTGCATATCGAGTCAAAATTTATGGACTATTTATGTAATTTTCTTATTTTTAAATCAAGTCAAGTCTAAATTCTGAACCGTACTGATTTGACTCGAATTAAACAAAGTGGCTCAATTCCTAATATGCGCCAAATTGCCGTCTCCGGAGGACCCAAGACCCTCACTTCCTCGGAGGGAGAAATAAGCAAAACAGAAACAAACGAAGATGAAGTGGCGACGTAAAGCTAAACCATCTCTCTGTCTCTCTCTCTCTCTCTCTCTGTTTTTGTCTTTTGTCCAATTTGATTCCCTGGCAGCTAAAAAGGAAAGAGGAGGGCGCACCCCGCACGCACCCTCTTCTCATCTCAATAGCCGTGCGCGATTCACTCGGGGTTCTGATCAAAGCTTATAAATGCCAGCCCGTTTCAAGACCAGACACGAGCTCACAGGCCGCGTGCTCAGAGCCATGACCTGCCCTTCGTGCAATTCGTGCAATGCAAGGCCAGACCCGCCCGTTCTCGCCGTCGTCCTCGATTTGGACGGCACCCTTTTGGACACAGGTTCGCCGAGAAAGACTCGTCCTTTCCTTTTCCTGTAGACTCAATGGGCTCGTTTGATTTCTGGGTTGTTTTTCTTTTTTCTTTTCTTCCCTCTTTTCCAATGATCTTGGGTGTGTGATTTTTGGGTTATGAGCAGAGGTGGGTGGGAAGGGGGTGTTGAAGGAATTCTTGGGCAAGTATGGCAAGGTGTTGGAGGAGGGGGATCAGAAGAGATTGGGCAAGACCTTGAAGGAGTCGGCCATTGCCATGGTTACCGACTATGATCTTCCACTGACTCCTGATCAGTATGTGGAAGAAATCGTGCCCATGTATCGTCAGGGGTAATCTCTCTCTCTCTCTCTCTCTCTCTCTCTCTCTCTCTCTGGTGCTTGTACATAGTCACATAATATGGCGAGGCAACATCAATCGCAGTAGATGAAATGTGTGAATACGTGTGAGGCCTGTCTCATGCTACTTCTTCCTATACGACTGGTTTTGGTATAGTATAATAAGTCTAGGCTGTGATTTCTTGTGTGTCAAGGGTCAGCTAGAGTCGAATCCCACATTGATCTTTTTTGTGGTAAATTAAGGTGGGCGAAGGCCAGAGCGCTTCCTGGTGCTATTCGACTTATCAAGCATCTCCAAAATTGCAGAGTGCCGCTTGCCCTTGCTTCAAATTCCTTGAGAGAATACATCGATGCAAAAATATCTCATCAACAAGGTTTGTCTTCTCAAACCCTCTATTTGAGTTATATGTATTTTGATATCAAAGGAAGCATCTAGTTCTTTCATCTTTATATTTCAGCTGTAATAATGCATGTTGAATCCTGAGTGTCCAATAATGAAAAGCTGTGCTGAGTTTTGTTGTTTTGCAAATTTATGATCTCTTCTTTAGAAAAAATCAGGGCAATAGGCATTATATGTGGAATGTTGACTGACTCAACCGACTCTATTGCCAGTGTGAATAGATTTTAGTCGGGATTTTTCTTTAATTCATAATCAACGTGGATTATTGGTGGTATTGTTGGTTCTGACTGCTTTAGCTGAAAGAAAGTTGCGAGTCATACTGGAATACCAGAGGGCATGTCATTTGAGTTGGACTGAGGCACTGCCATTACAATTGGCGTAATGGTTTTGTGAGTCAAAAATGCTTGCTTGCTTGAAGCATACATGAATAGAATAATGGAAACATGAGAGCTAGCAGGTGGCTCATAAGTCTCTTCTGTATAGAAGCTCTGTGTAAATGCTATGTTAATGGACAGTGAATGTCAATCTTATCATTGATCAGGTATTCCCATTGGGTTTCCTGTCTTTTGTCAGTCGCATTACCTTAGACAAAATCCATGTTGACCCCACTGGTCCATGTCATCCTTCTACCTAAGCCATATATTTGTCTTTGACTTTATAGGTTGGAAAGAATGCTTCTCCGTTATTGTTGGAAGCGATGACGTTCAGTCAGGGAAGCCAGCTCCAGATATGTAAGATTTCTAACTTATCCAATTTCAGTGCAAATAAAAGTCGCTAAACTTAATAAAACCAAAGAAGAAGAATTGCTTCCTGGAACATCTCACTGAAACTTGGACATCCAGTTCTTATTACCCTATGATTGCATAAAAGAAGCATTGCAAAATGCTGAACCACATGGGACTAAGATCATTGTCTAAAAGATGATTTTCCCAAACAAGACTTGACGATGTAAACTAAATTGTTTGGACATCACAGTATCACCTTACATACATTTCTTCCTCAGATTTTATTGGAAAACAGAGCAAACTAACAGGCTTCACGCTGCTTGCAGATTCATAGAAGCTGCAAGAAGAATGGAGATCGATGCAACTCGTTGCCTTGTGATTGAGGACTCCTTGTAAGTTACTTTCTTAAAGAGTGTTCTTGTTCTCGTGGAAGGGGGGTTATATGGGTTAAATAATATCGGATTTTCATTTTGGAGAACCTTGTTGTTGGAGCACTAGAAGCAAAGTACATATTCAGTACCGTCCTGCATTGATAGATGGAGCCCACTACTATAACAGATTAGCAGAACTATCAAGGATGGACTGGGTTTCGAGTAACTATTGGTGATAACTTGATGCCTCAGAAGAATTTTTCTTGTTTACGTAGTATCAATATTAAAACTTCAAACTCATGCTTATGAAAATGTGAAAGCTTGCACAAACAGCCTTTTGTTGCAACTTTGTTCCCCTTTTGTTGCTACTACTTTCTCATAGCACTACCAAGCTGTGAGACAATATTTTGGAACTGAATGTTTGTGACAGGGTTGGTGTCCAAGCAGCCAAAGCCGCCAAAATGAAGGTAGTGGCAGTTCCTTCGCATACCGAAGCTGATTGTTCTTCCATGGCCGATAGCGTGCTTCATTCACTTCTAGAATTTCAGCCTGAGCTGTGGGGTCTCCCTCCATTTGATGACTGTAGATACTTAACCACGTCATGTTTATTTTTCCATCAATTATCGTTAGTCATGGAATCAGCGAATCAACTCATTCTTGTTGTTGCAGGGGTTAACAATGCATTGCCAATCGAAGCAATGGTCTTGAGCTGTCAACACGTGAATGGTTCGTTTTATGAAATCGAAGGTTTGTGAAAACTTAATTTTCTTCTGTTCATCTTTGGAGTTGACGAAATTGAATTAGCCCCACGAGGTTTATATTTCAAGTTCCTAGTGTAATCAGGTTGCTGTCCGATTCTGGCAAGTCGCCCATCTATTAGTGGACAGTCTAATCCGATGCCTTATGCTTTTGTTGTCCGGTTCATGTTGAACGAAACTTAGAGAACCTGGTGTTGTGACTAAACCTATCACCACTTTTGGAAAGTCTAACGCTGTCTTTCTGTTGCTCTAAATTTATGTCCATCAACCAGAGGAGGGGATGCCTGCTCTTCCAGCTCAAGCTGCCGGAGTTTACTTTGGTTGGGCCCAAGTCGGCATCCGTACAATCTTTAAGGCCGTGGTCGGCATCATATTTGATTCTCCAAGTGCCTTGAGAAAACTTGTGGGTGATCGATGCGCTCTTGATCTGACACGTTTTTAGTTACTTCTCAGAATCTGTCACCAACTTGAATATAACCGTAATACCATTTCACCTTCTCTGTCTTTTGCAGCACCTGTGTTCGATCGATGGAAGCATCGATCGTGTGTCTGATCAGCACGTGCAGCTTTCCCTTGTCGGCTTCATACGCGGTTTTAGGTCCAAGGTAACTTTTTCATGACACCGCAGTAGCATGTTTACGGTCGAATAGTACGAGATTACTCGAAATAAGTATACGCGCGAGTATGCTTTGCTGAATTCTTCTCGAAAATCTGCGACTTTTGAGTATGGGAGAATGGTTCTGTCTGATGCTTTTGTCTGAGAAATGAGCGCGAAGACAAGTTTCTTTGTGGAGGTCTGGTTGATCCATCTGTGTGCTAATGCATATGTATGTATCTGTACCGATGTGGAGGTCTGGTTGATCCATCTGTGTGCTAATGCATATGTATGTATCTGTACCGATCACGCATCGTCTAAGCCGTAATGGAAGTACAATGGTGCTCAATTTTTGTTTAGTGCATTAGGGAATTCTTTGAAAATCTTGCAGCTTTCGCTTCTCATGAATGACTATTCATGCATGCAGGACGTCGTGTCGATGGACAAAATTATAGACGAACAAGACAAGTCCATCGCCAGTTCTTCTTTAGAGCTGCCGGAGTTCGCTCACCGCAGCAACCCGTCTTTCGTTTAGGTCGCTGATTCGAAAATATAAAGTTTTTCCTTGCCCCCTTAATAGGAGTACGTCGAACTCATCCAGCGGAGACGACGACGACCGGAGGTCCGGAGCCGCCTTATGTTGCAGTCTTGTTAACTCAATTGTTTCGAGACATACCTGATTCTTCGGGGCGATTTTGTGATCGTGTAATGTATTTCGATTCGACATCAACGTAGCATCAACGATTACAGTCTATGATTATTGCAATTGCAAAGCGAGATTAATCTTCTTCGCTATGAAGTGGAAAAAAAAAAGCGTTATCTTGTTCGTTGAGACGAGATTGATGAGCATTTGAATCTCGTCGAACTTTACCATGGCGGAGAGAGGTCAAGCAGCTCTGGTCGCTAGTTTTCGTTCCCCAGTCCTTGCAGAACTGCCAAAAAAAACACCGAAAAATTTGCTCCGAAATGCGCTTTTTGATCGTCACGGCAATGAAGGAACCACAGCCGAAAACGTAGCCAAAAGCGAGAGAATCACCTGTCACCGACGGATTCCGATCTCCAGCTGATTCGACCAGGAGCAGTTGCCATTGCCGCCCACACTGCCAGCGGAACCACCGGCATTCGCCCCTTTCGACGCCTTCCTCTTCGGAGCATCTTCTCCCGCGCCGCCGCCCGTCTCCGAGCCCGACGAAGCCGTCCTCTTGCAACCGAACGCTCCACCGCCTGTCTTCTTCGGTCTCCCCCGGCGCTTGGAGCCATCGCTCGCCGACAGCAGGTCCTCTTCGCCGACGATCTCGACGGAGGCGACGACGCACTCGTGCCACCCGAGCTCGTCGACGTCGGTGATCACGTCCGCGAGGGAGAGCCGCGCGCCGCCGCCGCCGCGGCGCGGCGACGAGATGCTCTCGTGCAGCGTGGATCGCGAGGGATCCACGAGCTCGATGGCTTCCACGGCATCCAGCAGCACTCTCTGCGACGATCGCAACCAAAGGCCTTTCAGATCGCAAAACAGCTCGATCGCTCATCGCCCGATCGAAGCTCTCAATCGAACCGGAACCGTGGCGTGAAGCGAACGCGCGAACGCAGAGCTCGATCATCCTAATCGCGAACGAAGCGGATGCTAAGAACTAGCATGCAAAGGGATCCGGAGGCGGGGGGGGAGTTCACCTTGGGGTGGCTGTGGAGCTTCCTGAACCCGTGCATCTGGATGATCTGCGAAGGAGACGGAAAAGGCGGTGCGGGATCGTCATCGGAATCGAGGCTCGGCAGCTGCGGAAGCGATCGGAGAGAGAGGGAGAGGGAGGGAGAGTACCTGATTGAGGGAGCTGACGGTGAGGCGGGTGCGGTTCCGGGAGTGGAGGAAGTCCAGGTACTCCTCCAGCGACAGCTGGTTCGCCTTCGCCGTCTTCCCCTGCATCCTTCCCCGATTCTTTTCCCCCTCCCTTCTTCTTCTCGTTTTGGCACGAGACGGGGGTATTTATACTGGGGAGGGGGGATGGGATGGGATGCGCGCGCGCGCGAGCGAGGTGGGACCCCATTACTGCGCTCGAAGGCCGAGATGCTCCGCGTGCGCATGCCACCCCCCGCGACCGTCGTCCGGCGGCGGCTACGTCGCCGGCTGAATTTTGATCGGCATCTCGTTTCGGCAAGTCCTACAGCTAGTCCTTTATAGTCATGGTCGAGTTTAATTTCGGCGAATGGACATTATATGAGGAGAGAAAGAGAACAGAGAGAGTGGGATGGGAAGGTCTTGGACCGTCGTCGGGATTTGTGGGAGGGGGGCTGTGGTACTACTCGGTACGTGCCGGGAGAGCCTCCTTGCCCCTCGGCGCGGTAGTTTCACGACGCCGCGAGGCTCAACCTACCCCCTCGAGCGCGGGGCGACCGCGAGGAGCCAACTTGGATCCTGGCTCGGTGGTTGGACGGCGGCCGAGTTGGGACTGCCTAGTCATTTAGACAAGAGCCGGACCAAATCGGCCGGAGAGAAGTAACGCGCTTCGCCGTCTTGGCCCCATGTAATGTAAATGCAATGTCATCTCTCTCCGAGTATGCACGTTTTGTGCTCTCTTTGGGTACCTGCGAGCGTAATGGTTTCTCTGCTCACTATAACGATATTAAAGCTTTGCCAAGAAAAAGGTCCGTCGTCGCAACCAATGTGCTTTGCTGGAGGTTCTCAATTCATGAGCATATATGCATAAATGTTGTTAACTTGGGTATATATAGAGAGAGAGGCACATTAGCCACCCAAAGAATATTTTGAGGGCTTGGTAATAGTGGCGTGTTTTGTGTTAGGAGCTGTACGTTTTCATTCGACATATGCCTATCGAGTCGCGATTTCCTTATCGACATCTTTGGCAAACTCAAGGTAGAAGCGAGCTTTCGTTTTCGAAGCCTTAGACCATTTATAATTCACACCGTATGTTCCTGCTATTCTCACCAAGCAAATCGAAAGATATTGCGGCGTCAAAAGTTTGAACTCCGCAATATTCGTCTAGCACACTACTTATATGAAGAAAACTATCCGGTTTTTTCAACAATGAAAATCAGTTTGCTGTTGTATATATGCAACATTCTATATCCAAAGTTCAAATAACTGGCACAACTAACGACATCTATGTGTCGATTTGTTTGTGCACAGTATGCTGTGTCATCCTCTTCGTACGTACTTAGACGAAACTATTTCATCGAAGAACTTGAGAGAACAAGAGCAACGTATAGACCAATCTGTAGATTGAACATCACTGAAGCAATTAACTGAAAACATTTTTCATCATGACCGTGATTACCAATCGCAACAGTATAGAAGAGAAGAGGCTATGGAAAGCATTAACGAAAGATAAATCTCAGTCTCCAACTCTTCATGCAGAAAAAAAAAAAATGCTTGTACCAGTCGGAACGAGTAATCGGCTCAATCGAAGCACGTCGTCGACACCGACACCATATGACGTGCCAAAAACCACCAAATGGGTTTAGAATTTGATGAACAAATTGCACCCGTCGCATGGAGCGACAAGAAGAAAAGATCAGGAAACAAGATGAAGGTTTTTATGCAGCAAACCCAGAAATGCTAGTTACTCGAGCAATCTTTTCCATGAGTTCGACCTCCTGGTTTTTGCATTAGCCAAACGTTGCCACTTCCTCCGGACCGCCCGTCAAGGGAGCACGAGTGCGAAACAAAGACTCGACGCGATCCGACACGAGTACAGCCGGATGACTTGATCCTTTATCAATCCGTTCCTCGCCACGATGTCGACCCATCCTTGCCCTACCAAGTGGTACACCGTCTCGCCCTTGCTCTTCAGATCCAACCTTATCAGGCCCAAGTGGCAAGTCTCGCCCGACGGCCCCAGCAGCAAGACCTTCATCTCCGTTGGCGCCCCGTTCTCGTCCCGCGTCTTGAGCGCTTCCTTCTCGGCCTTCCTGAGAAACTTGGCCAGGAGTTGCGCCTTGGGCAGCGTGAGCCGGCGCGCGGGTGGGCTCACGTCCACAATGTCGAGCGGCTTCTCGATGAGGAGAACCATTTCGCACCCCCCAATCATGTCGCCGGTGGCGACACCCGGGAAGAAAGATCTCCGGACTCTCTCACGAAGAGCACTAGGGTTTTCGGACGAAGACGAAGCCGCCGCGGACGATTCTTGAGAGCGGCGCGCTTCTTCCCGCGAAGCAGTCGCGGCAATCGTTAGTATATCGAAACTCATTGTGTTCGGTTTGCTGCCGCCAGTCTCGACTTGTCCAGAGCAACCTTCACGATCATCGGGAGAGGAAGCATCGCCGTGCGCCGTTTCTCCTTTTCCGGGTTCGTCGGGCACTCGGCGATCATCGCCGGGAGAGGGAGTGTCTCGTATCTCGCCTTCTTCGAGTTCATCATCCGAGCTTCGCGGGGTGTTGCTTCCGATGCCGCTCGACATCTTTCTTGAAGGGGAGGGGTTCTGAGAGTCGAGAAAGATTGAGAATGGTTCGTGAAAGTTGGCATTTCCCCTCTTTCCAACGGTAGTAACTGATCCGTGCAACGGTGGTTCAAGTCAAAAGCACCGAACCATTAATAAGAAGCAAAACAAATCCACGTGGCAATTCGTTAGGAATTTAGAGATTTGAAATACTCGCGATTTTTTTTTTGGGGGGGGTAAAGTTTTTTAAAAATCCATTTATTCAGATCACCGTATATTTATCTTGGGGTTGGTAAATTGAAACGATTTATTGTGATTTTTTAATATTTTTGAGTAATTTTATGTCTGTACCTTTGGTTGTGTCCTTTGTTAATAACGACTCCAATCTTCTTGAGGATTTCTTAGGAAATTATATACTGCGCGACACAAATTAGTTATCAGCACATATATATACACATGAAATCATTTGGATGGTCAATTGGACACCAATATCGAGAGGATTTATTGTCGTCCCTTTCAATGGATGTTATTTATCTTGAAAATAATCCGATCTAAATTGACTCATTTTCTAATAAAAAAAAATTGACTCATTTACCCCGTTTTGACCTATTTCCACGCAAACCAAATCCAACGACCCAACCCTGACCAGATTCATATCAATAAAACAAATATATATTTAACCAAATTTTAAAAAACTCATCCAAACAAAAGTCAAAGTGAGTGAATGCAAGAGAGAGTGAAGACAAGAAAGAGTTATAGAGATGAGTTGAGTCTAAATAAATTGTGAACCCATTTAACACTTACTCATATTATTTTAAGTCTTACAATTCTAAATTCATTTATGACCTATTTCATGAATATAATTAACCCATATAATAACTCATTCCATAAAATATGGATTAAGAATGATCCATTTCGATAGACCTACTTGAAAGAAAATGGAAGTGCTCCTCCTCACTGCTTCACCTAGCGGCGCGAATCCATCCATCGTTTGTGTCCTTGCGCAGAGGAGCACCCACGAAAGCGTTGGGGACGGCATACGAGGTAGCAACCGAACTCAATTAGTTTATTCATGAAAGTTTCATCCATTCAAATGAGGACATATAGCTTGGAGACGTAGAAAGAACCACACAAGCTATGTGATTTCAGCGTAAAGAAGGCTCGGTTTGCATAGAGGATCGAATCGTCTCAAAGTAAATTGGTTGCAGAATTCCACGACTCGATTTATGCGTCGGCCCTCCGGCTTACAAACCGTCTGTCCAGCTTGGAAATGCATTTTTTGTGATCGGAGAAACGACACAGAGAAACATAACAGGCTTGTAAACAATTTTGGTAATCAATTAGGGACAGCTTCCTGGAATCATGAGCATAGAATTTCATTTCCGGGAAGGTCACAGCCTAATGAGTGAGAACCATGTTAGATCACTTCGAGATGTAAACTACTAGAATTCAGATAACAGATCAATGTAATCACAGGAAGCTGCATGAGAGAGAAACGGAGCAAGTTTCCGGTAGAAATGAGGATCGAGTAGTAAACACGTAAGAAATGATCTGCCACAAAAAATTGAAGGGCTAAGGATTAACTGTAGAATTGAGGATGAATATGAATCAAGAGATAAAGTTCTTCGCGAAAAGAATTGAGTTGTTTCACAATTCTTGAATTTAGGAGATGAATTTTATCTAAGGTTCCCTAAGTATATAATAAAGGAGCTGATTATGTCACAGTAAAATTCCAGTGCCTGAGAGTCCTCCAGAAGCCGACTGCTCAGGACGATCAAGGGTGATCTGGGCATTCGCCACTTCTCACACGGCTAAATCCACGGCCTTACATGATCCATCGGACAAGAACTGATGTTGGTTTGCATGTGTATTCCTAAAATTATTACAGCATATCAAGACGATGGTCAGATGAACTCGCATGCATAAGCAACATTAGTTCTGCACATTAAATAAAGTGAGAGACAAATTAGGTCCTTATTCATCATCACAAAATGACGGGAAAAAACAGAGACTTTCCGAGTGATTTCTGCAAAAGCCAGGGCGAAAAACCACGTTGAAGTTATTACGGAAATCTTGTGACCAGGAAATATTGATACAGCAGATGACCAATAGAGAACAACTTTTAAGCACATGGATGGGGAAATCAGTTCAAACGTGTTGATGAAATTACGAGGAAAAAAAAAAGGAGGAATGAGTGACAAGATTGTGGCTCACCAGGGGATGGCATTGCAGCTTTGGACTTATTTTAGACATCCCGGCTAATTTACACAAGGTTTCAGATTATGACATTCATGTTGAGATCCCATTAAAGCAACCTGTGCACGTCGTAAAGATTCAGCAATCTCACTGTCTCCTGGACGTTCTCTTCGCAGAACTTCATAGTCTCTGACGGATTCTTCCCACCGGCCAAGCTACAGCATCAGATAAAATTCAGAGAGATGTGATTATAAAGCAAACAAAAAACAGCGAACGGAAGAAATCAATGCAGAAAAGAGGAACAGATTTTTGAACCAGAAGACATCTGATTTACCTTCCCATTTGAGACAGCCCTCCGAAGAAGCGCCTTGATGTAATTTGGTTGAATCATGAGAGCTTGGTTGCAGTCTTCAATGGATTTGTCCCACAATCCAAGCTTAGACCAACAAACAGCTCTATTGCAATAAAGAACCGAATTGCAGTTATCATATTTGAGGCCTTCCCCATAAGCTGAACAGGCCTCAGCGAATCTTCCGGAGCTGAAGAGATCATTACCACGAGCACGAGCATTTGCCACCATTTTGACATTACTCAGCAGCAATGCAATGTCCGCATTGCTGTAATCAATACGTCCAGCTTTCTCCACTGCTGCGACTGCATTATCAAACCTGCAAGACACGACAACGATTTCTCAATTGCCTGCAAAATTTAAATCACCCTTAATCCTCAAAATTCTGTATCAGGAACATACCTTCCCATTGCCATATCGACCTGGGACTGAACATAAAGCACATATGCTTCACCCACCATGCCACAGAACTTAATTTGTGAGTAGAAGGGCAAATTGGAGATAGCTTTTAGGCTCATCTCTGCATCTTGGAGTTTATGGAGCTTTAACAGGGCTTCTGCTTTACAAGCAAGAACCTGCAAATTTTCCACATGATGAGTCAACAAACATCCAGCTTTCAGTCAGGGAAATAGCTGAAATTAATCATTGTAGCCAGGATTCTTACCAGAGGAGAAGATTTAGCTCCTGCTTCCATTGCTGCATCAGATTCCTTGACTGTATTTTTCCAGTCTCCAATTTTTCTAGATTCGATGCAAAGGTTCAGATGCTTTTCAAGTGATTGCAGCTTACTCAACTCACATGGATCAGGCTGCTGGCCAGGATAACAGAGGTGATGTCGCGCATTTTCAACCTGTCCTAGCCTTGGAAATACACAAGTGCAAGATTGTGAGTTAAGATCATCAACATTCAAAGCTAAGTGTCCGTACACAATATAGAAAGCAGAGAACTGGTGTCATTTTACCATCACATGATTCCGCATCAATTCAAAAACAGGGAAATCAATTGGGGAAACATACTGAAAATCCAAAACGGTTAAAAGAAATAACTGAAATTCTCCACACAAGAAGTCAACTTAATGGCATCTGCAGTAATCCGCTCACATGAGCAGCAATCAATCGAAACAAACCGATAGGAAAGAACAAGCCTGTATTAGAAGAAAATTTAAAGAAAAAGGCTGACAGCGAAAAGTCAGGATGCTTCGTTGAATTCTACCGCTACTTAACAAAAAGGAAAGCAGTCCCAAAACTATTCATCAAGAATTTGAGACCCAGCTTCCTATTGGGTGATAGAAGTATGAGAATGAAAGCACAACACACCAATCACGACAAAAGCCTGCAGATAATTCCATGGAAAAGTCTAAGGGAAATATGACCTTTATTGACGACACAGCAGAACCAATTCAACTGTCCAACGAAAACTACGAGAAAGAAAAAGAATCGTCCTGTGGTAATCAGAATTGAACTCGTGAAATTTGAAATAAAAAACAAGCATACCACGCGTAATCTCTCCGCTAACTAATCTAAAAAATGCAACTTTCAGCGTCGGCAAGATATCAGACACAAGAAAGTTGGTCGGATGTGCATTCTTAATCACGGACCGGATCAAATGATATACCTGAGATAAAGAGAAGCTAATCTCTGATGAGCCCTCCCATGACCAGGCTCCAACCTCACGGCTTCCTCGCACTCCCTCACCGCCTCGCCCAACCTCCCTAAAGCCGTCAATGCCGCCGCACGATTGCTTCTATACGACGCATTATCGGGCGAAATCGCTATGGCCCTGTCATACAGTAACAATGCGTCCTCGAATTTTCCTTTCCTGTACAATTCATTCCCTGCGTTCTTCACATCCTCCGGATCTAAACTCGCCATTCCTCTCTTAACAACCGATTCGCCGACAGATTTGCCATTGCTCGTCTCTGCTACAGTTCCGTTACTCGTCTTCGGAGTACTAGTGCCGCCACGCATTATACTTCCGTGGCCGTAGTTTCCGCTCCCGGAGCTCAACGTCGCCATTCGGTTACCGTTCGCACTCGTTAGATTCGGCTTCGAGATCTTCCCGGACGGACAAATGTTGCCGCTCAGACCCACTGCATTCACGTGCTGATTCGACGGCGCAATGCTGCCGCCACCGGTGCTCGAATTCGGAGCCCAACTCCTGCTCGAGTAGATCAACGGGGTCCCGGCGGATGCAGATCGCCGATGGCCCCGCCGCGGCGTCCGCGACGTCGCCGATTGGAGAGTCTCCGCGTCGCTCGAGGCGCTCGCGCTCATCTTGCCCGAGACCGAGCCGGAAGAACTCGAGGAGCCACTCGAGGTGGTGTTCGTGGTCGTGGTCGTGGTCGCAGTGCCGCCGCCGCCGCCGCTCATCGAGCTCCTCACCATCAGCGGCGAGACGGGCGAGCCCAGATCGAGCTCCCTGTAGTCGGGCTTGTTCATCTCGCAGCTCGCCGAGTCCGCAAACCGCGCCGCCAGCGAGCCGATGCCGCCGCCGCCGCCGCCGCCCTCACCCGCCGCCTTGCCCGCGCCCGCCGTCATCGCCGCCGCCGCCGCGGCCGCCGCCCCGAGCCCCGAAGGAAACCGCGAAGCCGGCGTCGCTTCGCCGTGTCTCGCCAGATCCCGCCGCCTCGCGATGGCGCTCGTGCAATGCGAGAGGTCGGGAAACTAGCCAGACGTCTAGAGAGAGAGGGAGAGATGCGGAGATTGGATCTCGCAGCAATGTGGGCAGGAGAGAGGGAGAGAAGGAACACAGAGAGAGAGAGAGAGAGAGAGAGAGAGAGAGAGAGCGGGAGCAGCGGCGGCGGAGGTAGAGAGAGAAGCTGCTCGAACTGGCACGGCGATGAACGATCTGCGCGCGCTCTCTCTCTCTCTCTCTCTCTCTCTCCGTCTACGAAGAGTCCCTGCTGCTTCACGAGACTCTCTCTCTCTCTGAGATGAAGAAAGAAGATGACGATGACGATGAGGATCGATTTATGATTTTTGTATGGGGAAGTTTTTTTCATTTTTTATTTTTTTTATGCGCTCTGTTCATTTGGTTATTATTTTATTATTTCTGCCAGCCATTTTGGCAGCCGCATTTACTCTTTTTTTTTTCGGTAATTTTTCTTTTCTAAATTACGGTACGGTCTTCGTTGTTAAAAAGGGTAGGGGGAAGCAAAGGGCAAGTTGATGCCAAAATTTGGCCTATGTAATTTTAGTTGGTGTGCTCCCCCCCCCTAACCAAATCCTTTTAATTCTTCCATTTACTTTAATGTGTAATCAAAAGTCTTGATCGGTCGACGTGTTTATTGGATGAACCCGCTCTTTTCGATCGAGAATGAATGATTTCGATTCTTCGCGATTCGATGTTCTAAAGTCCTGGTAAATTTTAAATCTTATTCGCCCGATATATAATGTTGTAAACGGCTATTTCAATAGTTCTGACAAAATTGAATGATGTTTTCATTATATACGGTAAATGATCTCTTCTTACTCGAAAGAAGTCGAGACGAACGGGGATCCCGGTTTCTCGGAATGTCGCGCCATCTGGGCAGGCTGAAACGGGAGTCCGTATGGAGGCGGCCATTACAAGTCTCTTGGCTCGAGTTTCACGGAGCACGAATGAAGAGCTAGCCACGGGAGAAATCACCGGAATGGCATTTTGGCGATATCGTTCCTCCCTTCGGAATAGGGAAATTTCTTTTTGAAAATTTCGTTTTCGTGCACATTGGAATAAATTAGATTTGGAAGTTTCTTCAAGCCCAACAATCTAAAAATAGAGAGCATTTAATTCTACAAACAAGGGGCAGCAAAGAAAGGGACACCACCAAAGTGCATGAATCTGGGTATACGTGGATTTGTTTATTCGCATTTATTTATTTTTTTTCTTTTTGAGATAGAAAGGAAATGAATGGAGATTGCTCGGGGAGGTAGATGTGAATGTACTTGGAAATTTGGAGTTGGAACCGGGCATTTAATTTCTGGTGTGGTACCCAAATAGGACATCATTCCACGCGTTCCGTGCTCCCTCGGAATTTACTCTAGTTATGGAAGGCCTAAGCGATTTGCTTTTGCCAACTTGGATGCCTCCCTAAATTAGTCGGACCATCATGGATAGTGCCGCCCAAATTTATCGATTTACACGTGGATTATCGTCATAAGAGGAGGAAGAGTAGGACCAGAATGAGGGGATAAAATGTAATTTATGGGGGAACTCGATGAGTTTATAACATGAAATTGTCGTAGTAAGTCCAGGGTTATCGGTTTCGAGGTAGGTCGATTCCTAGCCTGGATAAGTTAATAACATAAAATGTGAATGTACTTGGAATTGGAACCGGGCCTTTAATTTTTGGTGTAAGGTAGATAAAGTGACGATGTGGACTTTACCCAAATAGGACATCATTTAATACATTTCGTACTCCCCAAATTTTAGTCTAGTTGCGGAAGGCCTAAGCAATTTTCTTTTGCCGACTTCTATGCCTTCCTAAATTAGTTGGACCATCATGGGTAATGCCATGAAAATTTATCGATTTAAATGTGGATTATCGTCACAAAAGGAGGACAAGTAGGACTAGAACGAGGGGATAAAATGTAATTTGTGGGGAAACCTAATGAGTTTATAACATGAAAGTATAGGAGCAAGTTCGTGGTTATAGCTTCCAAGGTGAGTCTACTCCCGGCCTAAATGAGTTAATAGCATAAATTGTGAATGTACTTGGAATTGGAGCCGGACCTTAAATTTTTGGTATCGGGTAAATAAAGTGATGACGTGGACTTTACCCAAATAGGACATCATTTAATACATTTCGTACCCCTCGAAATTTACTCTAGATACAAAAGGCCTAAGCAATTTTCTTTTGCCAACTTTGATGCCTTCCTAAATTATTTGGACCATCATGAATAATGCCACCAAAACTCATCAATTTACACGTGGATTATCGTCAAAAAAAGAGGAAAAATAGGATCAGATTGAGGAGATAAAATGTAATTTATGGGGAAACCAGATGAGTTAATAACATGAAAGTGCTGTAGCAAGTTTGGGGTTAGCGGTTTCAAGGTAAGTCGATTCCCCCTCCTAGAATTGGAAATTGATCTTGTAACCCTTTTAGGAACCAAACTGGTCGATTTTGGAACCGCCTTGGTCCTCTTTCCGGTTCTAGCAAGGGATCGACCCATTTTTGTAGTTTGGGTAAAAAACCAAATTCTTTATGAAAGCTGCCCCATTTCATTCCAAAAATAGGTGTTGGTCGATTGCTTTTGTTGTTATAAGTTCATGTTGAAAACCATGCTTCAATTCTTGATGGGTTAAAAAGTTTTTTTTTTTTTTTACCGGGGAAGGCTTCAAAGTTGGTTTAGAACCAGTTCAACCTAGGAATTGGATTAGCTAAACCGATTACCGGGTAACCAGTTCGATCCCCGGTATTAAGGCCGAAATGCCGGTTCTAGGTTTGTAGAACTCAGAACCTACCCGTTTCCCTAAACCAAATATTGAAACTGACAAAATAAAAATGGTTAATACCACGAAAAACCTTAAACCTGTACATCTGTGATAAATTTACTTCAAACTAATTTTTGATCATCAAAAACCTCAAATTGGTATACCTGTGATAAATTTATCAAAAATTAATTTTTTGACCACAAAAACCCCAAACCGGTACACTTGTGACAAATTTACCCTTTGTTGAATTGGATAAATACCACGAAAATTCATAAACTTATGACAAACCGAGAGGTAAAATCCTAAACTGGTACATCCGTTAACTGCCACATGTCATCCAATTCAGCAATTTGACGGTAAAATTTAACGGAAGCTAACAGAAGGTAAATTTGTCACAGGTGTACCAGTTTGGGGTTTTTTGTGGTATCATCCCAAAGAAATAAACAAGGGAATTAGGCTTTATTTATTTTGCGGAAAATGAATGATTTGAAAAATATATATTTTTAAAAATTATCGCTTGTACTAATTACAAAAATGAATGAATAAAAATATTTTCCTATTTCGTCGTCCATGAAAATGTTCATACATAAAATTGGTGTTGGTAGTGAAAACCTTTTTTATTGATTAATTATTTTAAGAGATATTAAGCTACAATTTTTTAGAAAAATGTCCTCCAAATCATTCATTTTTCGCAAAATAAACGGAGTTAGAAAATCACTAGTATTAGCTTGTGAGGCATTGTTTCATTTTGAGAAGAAATGATAATTTCCTCCTATTAATTACTGGTAGCCTTGATAAAAAAAAAAAAGAAGAAGAAAAGCTGTCAAGGTAGAAAAGGCAAAGAGGAAATGACCTGAGTTTTCCAATGCGCCTACTACTTGCTGGTTTTGCCAGGTTTTGATTCCCGATTGTCTTCAAAAAGAAGTTGTAATTTCGAAAAATCATTTCCCAGGACAAATTCCATAGTCAGATTTAGGACAACCAGGGCAGTACATGTAAGAGCAAATGTTGGTTTCAAGACTAGGTTCGATGCTGATTCTTTGGTGGACCACTTTGGTGAATTAGATGACAACTATTGGAGATCATAGTGTATTTAATTTAGAGAAAGGTATACTAAAGTTTGGTAAATGTAGATAGGACAGCGTACCAAATTTTAGTTACAGCCCCGTATGTCACTTGGACTTCTAGTAAAACAACGACGACACTCTATATCAAATTATTATTACGAAGTACTCTCTATTAGTGTCCTTAACAAGTATTGTTTGGACATCTAATTTGCAAAATGTCGATCATTCTCTTTGCAGGGAGAATTTTCGTGTATTCTCAATTCATCTCGACTCTAAGTAAGATCCTCCCTCCTCCTAGTGCTTGCCTCGTTCAACTTCGTTGGTTTTAGTGACTTTTGATGTTGTGACAACATTAAGGGTGCGTTTGGCAATCATTATGTTTTTGGGAACAATTTTGCTCAGAAATGATTTTTTTTATTTTGTTCCCGGAAATAATTTTTGAGTATTTGAAGGCGTTTGGTAACTACTCAAAATTTCTATTCCCAGAATAGAAAAAGAACATAAATACGTTTGGTAATTGCACAAAATTTCTTTTTATTAATAATATTTTGAATTTTTTAATATCTCTTTCTTTTTTTCTTCTTCTCCTTCCTTGGCCAATGGCTGGTGAGGGCATCGCGACTCTCGCCGACCACAGGCAAGGGCCACCCTCGCCAGTGAGGGCGAGGGCTGGACACTCGCGAGCTGGGTGAGAGCCGCCCTCACCGGATCTAGCGAAGGCTGGAAAAGGCCGGTGAGTGCCACCCTCGCCGCTCGTGGCCTGGGCAAGGGGCGCCCTCTCTAGATCTGGTGAGGACGGCCCTCGCCCAGGCCATGAGGGTCTAGCCCTCGCCCTCGCCCTCGCCAGCCCTGGCCTATTGCCGGTCGCCGCCCACTGACCACTGGCTATGAAAAAAGAAGAACCAGCCACAGGCCACAGGCCTAGAAAGAAGAAAGAAGAAAAAAACAAATTCTCTTCTTTTTCTGATTCTTGTTCTTGGAATCAAGAATCAACTTTTGTTTGAGTATTGATTCTGTTCCAAAACTATTCTTGGGAACAAAAAATTTACTAAACGGATTTATGTTCTTTTTTTGTTCCTAAGAACAAAAGAATAGAATTAAGCACTATTTGGCCGGTTGCCTAACATGCCCTAAATGTAACTCTTCTTTGTTCATTGTTTACTTTGATGATTTCTATTTACTTTCTCTCGATATTACAATACCTCTCCATGTCATATAACAATAACAATTAGGAATTTGTTATTTTTATCTAGTCCCTATTTAATATGATCTAAAAA